AAAAAAAAAAAAAAGAGAAATAGAAATCTCACTGAAGCCAGTCATGGAGAGGGGCACCCCTGGAAAGTGAGGGTCCCGTGGGACATAATTTGAAAACAATTAACTTAGAGCAAGAGGGGCCAGAAGACATCATCTGCAAAGGATTTAGAAACTGAACTAGCGCCAGCTGGAGAGTTTCAAGATTGAGTCTTTCCTAGAGCAGCACTGTTGACTCCCAGGTCTAGGCACTAAACCAATCGCCTCCTCTCCCTCAGCGATTTGCTAGCGAGAACCTTCCTATCTGCTCAATTCAGCCTCGTCTTCCCTTCCACCCTTCACAGCTCCTGGGAGCATCCGAGACCTCTCTCCTCTCACATTTCCCCAATTTCTCTTCATCTATAGCTAAGGAAAGCAGCTCAGAGAGATGGGAGACCTCAGCGACAGGACCGCTCCCGCCTGGTCATTTCTGGCCATGTGAGATAGCTCTGTCGGACCCTGACATTCCCTCCTCACCCCTCACCCTGGGGCTCCTCCTGGAGGAGCAGAGGCAGCATTTTCAGCCCAGTGCCTGGTCTTCAAGGCAGAGCTCAGCCCTCACCACCAGGTCCCAGCCAGCAGCTAGCCTGGGAAGGGGATCGCCGTGATTGCCCGGGAGCGACTCCTTCGCTGGGAGTCAGCACACCAAAGGGGCAGCGCTCAGGACTTCTGCTCCAGGGCTGAGTGTCGGCTCTCAGAGCAGGCCTGAGACCCTTTCAAACCCCGGCAGCTTAAGTTCTGTGCCCCCAACTGTCTCCTAGGAGCCCTGCCTGACAAAGGGGACCTGATGGACGACCCAACCATGGACGAGGAGCTCGAACGGCTGTAAGTGTCAGGTGGGAAGACGCTGCCCCTTGTGGGCGCTGTGCCCTGCCAGACGGGCTGAGCCCCCTCCTGGGCTGACGGCACTTGTCCCCCCCCCGCGTCGGTCGGGCCAGGGTTGGGGCCAGCGGAGGCCTGCCGAGCCCCCTTCAGGTCCTCTGGGGACCCAAGCGTAAGAGCGAGCGCGGAGGCCCTGACTCTGACCCAGAGGCGCCTCGCTGCCCCCGGGCCTCTTCCCTCCCCCAGGCTGGTCCAGGTCCCCGGCCTGGTCAACCCAGTCGCAGCCAGTCCAGAGGCCAGCTGCCTGCCTGCCCGGACCCCTCCCCGGGTTGGCTCCCCCTGGAGACCCCTCCATCACTCCCGAAAAGCGGATGCGGAGAGCGACGGTTCCACGGAAGAGACGGATGAGTCTGAGACTTGAAGAGTCAGACGGGGCCTCCGACGGCGCCCCTGGCACGCCCACCCCGCCTTCCCTCGGCGTCCTGCCGTGCTGCCCTCTGCTGGCGACAGGCTGCATAACAGCCCCAGCCCCAAGACCTGCCAGAGGGCTGCCATGAGGCAGCCAAGCCCAGCAGCGACCCTAGTCAGTTAACAGCCTGCTGTCCATGGCCCTGTCAGCCTTTGGGCTCTAGCTAGGCCCCGGGCTGACAGACTGTGCCAGAGCCACCTCGTCACTAGAAAGGGGACTTGGCCTTGGCCTTGGTCAGTCCTGACCTCCTGCGGAAGCGCAGTTTCTTCTAAGCCAGCCTCTGCTGGTCCCTCTCCTCCCAGCATCTCCGTCAAGGAGAACATGGATAGCCACGCAGGGCCTTCCCGTCAAAGGTGACACCTGAGATGCATATCCGGGGAGGATGTGCCTGGAGGGACAGCCACAGCCCTGACAGGATGGAGGAGGGTGGGCAAGAAGACAAGTCCACTTTCAAAGCTGCTTCAAGTCTCGTGTCTAATAGTTAAATATGCGAAATGAATAAAGTCCCTTGTGTCTGGTGAGTGGCAAGTCTAAAGCTGCGAGGCCAAAGGAGAGAAGGGAAACCTCTGCGTTTGGTGCTTCTCTGGCAGAAGTAGGAGGTGAGGGGCCAGTGTCCACTAGGCCTAGAGAGCTGCCTCAGATGAGGAGCCAGGAGGGGCCTAGCTCCTGCCCGTGAGAGTAGCCTTCCAGGAAAGGTGCTCGCAGCTGGAGTGGGCTTTGGGGAACAAGCTCGGAGGATCCAAGGCCAGGTTCCCCTAACTGTCAAGACCCCGGCCACAAAGGGTTAGCACTGCATAGTCTTCTAGCTAGGGCTTCATTCAACATCCGCCTGCTTGGGGTTAGGGCGGTGGGGATGCAACTGTGAAAGTCAAAGACAAGCCTGAGGCACAAAAGCTTCCAGTCAAGACCCGAGGAATGACAGGTGGTCTTCGAATTGGAGGTGGGGAGGCAGGGTCCTCCAGAAAGCAAAACCCTCCCCAGAACAGGCTGCTTCCTCTGAGGCTGGATGTCACCACGCCTGGGCATACACATTTGCCTGGGCTCACCCCGGCCCAGACCAATCCTGCTGGCTAATTACAAGAACCAGCTCCCAAAGCCCTGCAGAGCCTAGGCTGGGACGGGGTGTTCCAGACCTACAGAAGCTCCAGGCTGCGTGGTGAGCCCTCTCGGCCCACAGCCATGTCTAGCCTCCGGCCCGCGAGAGCAGTTCTCACATGCTGGAGTGCACCAGTCAAGGGAAAGCTCATCAGCAATGCACGTACCAAATTCCAGAGTCTGACTCTGCCAGCTTGGGGTGGCGCCCAGAACTCTGTATTTCTTATGAACACGCCAAAGTTTCTGAAGCTGGAGGCCCAGATATACACCAGGGAAATTATTGGTTTAGAGCCAAGGGCTCCCTCTATCCATCCTGTCTAATCCTCTACTTCCCAAGCCAATGAAAGATTACCCTGAGGATTCCTAAGGGGGCACACAGATATTTCAGAAGCCCCTAAGGGAAAGGGATGGCCAAGCCAGGGGTGTAGACAGACAGACAAACACATACACACACATCCTTTCTTCCTGAATGTAAAAGGGGTCATTAAGGTTTGAATTTTTTTTTTGAGTCAGAGTCTCACTCTGTCACCCAGGCTGGAGTGCAGTGACACACAGCTACCGCAGCCTCAACCTGCCGGGCTTAGGCAATCCTTCCACCTCAGCCTTCCAAGTAGCTGGGACTTCAGGTGCACACCACCACACCCGGTTAATTTTTTATTTATTGTAGACACAAGTTCTCACCATGTTACCCAGGCTGGCCTCAAATCCCTGGACTCAGCCTGCCAAAGTGCTGGGACTACAGGCATGAGCCACTGCGCAGGGCAAGGTGTGAATATTTCAAATACTTTGAACTCCAGTGAGAAGCTCGTCCCATCAAGCCTGCTGTTACAATAAGGTGCAGGGCTGCTGTGTTACTCACCTGCCCTCAGCCACATGGCTCAGTGGGCAAGTTAAAGGGCCAACTAATACCAGCTCTTTCCTCCACCTGCAACGGTGGCGAGGTCGAGGCTGCACCAGGCCTCGCAGCAGCACAAGACTGAGGAGCCAGGGTCTTTGGCTTTCAGAGAAGAGACAAGCAGGAGGCCCTGGAGAAAGTGTCCTCAGCTTCCATACTGACACCCTGCCCTGTTGGCGGGAGCCCGGAGAGTGAGATGAGGGGCCGGCCACTGGCCAGGGAGGTAGGATCCAGAAAGGACACCACTTCACTCAGACCAACAGGGACCCAGGGCCCTGCGGGGGCTTTATTTTGACACCACTTTGTTTCAATACAAATAGTCCAGAAAGAAGATCACATCCCTCTGGGGGAGGGGAGGGCAAAGAGTGGTCTGTGTTGCTTGGGAGACCAACCTACATCCCAGAGGTGGGGTTGGGCCCAGACTGCCAGCATGGCAGGGAAAAGTGGCACCAAGAATGACACAGTGCATGGCCCAGCTGCCAGAGGGCGAGGCCTGCAGCTCTGTAGGGCCTCAAGCACTCCCGTGGCGGGGGGGCATCCAGGCCCCCTAAGCAAGGATTATGCAGAGGAAAGAGCCCTAGGCCCTGCTTCCGTTCCTCACATCCTCTGCTTCCTGGGCTAGCATTATGCTCACAGCATCCAGTCAGGACACGGCAGATGAGACCCACCGTGGCCACCGACTAGGGGAAGAAGGGACACAGAACATCTCAAGAGGGGACAGAGGTCCTGCAGTCCACAGTAGATGATTCGAGACACCTGGAAGTACTGCTCCAGGCGATGACTGTAGAAGGGATAAGAGGCAGGAGAAGATCACGCAGGCCTCCAGTCTGATCCCAAATGAAACCCTCAGGTGCTAGGGTCATGTTTCTAGCCCTTAGTAAGGCCCAGACTAAGGTCCTTCCCCTCCCCTGCCCTCTCCTGGTACCCAGAAGAGGCCACAGCAGCAAGTCGAGAGCCTCGTTCCCCTGGGGACGGCCTAGGCCCCTGGCTCCAGAGGACAAAGGCCTGTGCCCTTGGACACACTACAAGGACCCCAAAGCCAGCAAAAACCCTGCATCCTTCACCTTCCCTGCTGGGGGAAGGCTGGACCCAGACCAAGCCATCCGGGAACTCCCTCCCCTCACTCCCAGTGTCACAGGACAAGCAAGCAGCAGCTGTGGGGCAAGACAACAGGACGAGAATCTAGCACAAAGAGGAGGGTGTGAGGGGAAGCAAATACAAGGCTCAATCCACAGGTGGAGGACAAGGGCTGGGGCCATCCACTTCGCCCGATGTCCTCAAAGGCCACCCCACTCACACACCATGCATGAAAAGTAACAAGTCCTCCCCGGCTTCCACAAGGTAAGCATCCTTGGCCTGGGAATGACAAAGTTCTTGCTGCTGTCACCATGAGCCTGAGCCATGGAGCTCGGATCAGTAGGAACCGTAGCGATCCTGGAGGTCGGAGGGAAAAAAAAAGTCAGGGTCTCTAACCCACAGCAGCTTCCCAGCATGCTCGCCTCTCCCCACACACACCCTGACCCCGCAGCAAGATGTGGGCTGCAGGGGGCTGGGTGCCCAAGGTGGAGTACACAGTGACAACTGGGGTGGAGGTGGGAGCGGGAGCAGGGGGCACTCAGGAACCCATCAAGGGGGCAGCCTGATCTCCCAGAAGCTGGGGAAGGAGAAGAAAGAATACAGGTAACAAGACGGCAAAACTCAGCACAGGCGTGGCCCCATCTCAGGGAGAGGCTCAGCCTGGCACCAAGCTTTCAGGAAAGGAGGCTGCCCATCCAAGAAAGCAAGTGCCCTCTGCTTCAGCCTGAGCGGCTCCCCAGCAGTGTGTGGATATGGTGCTGACCTCCAAGCACTACTCATCAGCCCCCCTCACCAGGTCAAGCAGCCTCAGCCTCACCTGCAAGGAATTCATCACACCGTTAGCCAGCACAGCCATCTTCCCAGCCACAGACTTGACACCCTGCTTAAACTGGGCAATGTCAGCCGTAGGAAGCACATTCCCCAGAGACACACTGCCTGTGAAAGCAAGGAAAGGGGTGACGCAGAGCCCAGCAGGGCGCCCCTCCTGCTCACAGCGGGGCCCTCTGGCTCTGCTCACAGGCCTCGCTCGTGACCTGCCACCCCACTGGGCTCTACCTGCTCCATGGGCTCCATCCATGTCCCCAAAAAGGTCTGAAGAGCTGATGGCACTGCTGCCTGAGAGCTGCTGTAGCCGAGACCTGGCTTCATACTGTGGTGAGGAAAGGACAAGGTGTAGGGCGTTTCTGGCCGGAGCTCCAAGGACTCACACAGGCCAAGCCACCCTGAGACTACAGCCCAAAGTCATGGCAGCGATAAGGTTCTCGCTTCTACCTGCTGCTTCCGGCCTCAGGGTAGACAGCTCCACTTACCTCAGCATCCACCTCCCGCCCAAAGAACATGTCGGATGAGATGGCTCTGGCTCCTGCAAATTTCTGACGTGCCTCACTGGACTCGAGGCCCGAGCTCCGGCTCTCCACTTCCCTCCGGTTTGTGGCTCTGAGGGCAAGATTTGGAACATCTCCGACCCTTCCCATTACCATCAGGGAAGCAGAATACAGAGGCCAAAAAGAACACCAGTGGCCTTCTGGAGATGGCTTGCCAGGCCCCGCTCTGCCTGTGGCTCGGGGACTCAGAGGCCCTCGCCCCTGGAGAGGAGCCTCCCTTCCCAACACGGAAGCCAAGGCACAGAGAGCTTAGTTATCTGCACCAGGCAGGCTGGAAATAGGGTTGGGAGGAGCCTGGGCTCTTGCCCCAAACCACATCTGTACCGGGTCTAGGAGGTCACATCATCACCACAGCTACCCTACTCCTAGTTACCATCTGCCTGACATGAGAGTGTCTACATCTCAGCTTGCCTGGCTTCACACCTACTCTTTTGTCCTAACTATTAATAGCACCTAATAGCACCCCAGCCCGCTACACTCTCAAAAGCATCCTCATATGAGTAGTCATTCCTATCTAGCATCAGGCACAGACATTGGGCTAGGCATCTTACAAGTGTTATTACACTTAACTTTCCAGAGACTCTGTAGTTACTTATGTTCCCATTTTATAAATGGGCAACTTGCAGTAGTTTGTCAACTAAACAGTACCCAGATTAAGATGGAATAAGGGTTTTTTTATTTTTTATTTTATTTTATGTTTATTTTTTTTTTTTTTTGAGTTGGAGTCTCACTCTGTCACCCAGACTGGAGTGCAGTGGCCGCTCCCAGCCACCACAGTCTCGACCTGCTGGGCTCCAGAGATCCTTCCGCGTCAGGCTTCCAAGTAGCCGGAATTACAGGCACGCGCTACCACACCTGGCTAATTTTTTATTTATCGTAGAGATGAGGTCTCACCAAGTTGCCCAGGCGGGTCTCAAATCCGCAGGCTCAGGCAATCCACCCACCTCAGCCTCCCAAGGCGCGGGATTACAGGCTGAGCCACCGAGCCTGGCTGGAATAAGGTCTTAAGAAAATAAACAAGATGGGACCCGGCGACACAAAACCCTTGGGAGGGAGGTCAGGACTAAAGCATAAAAGCAGGCCCCTCCTGCCCAAGCAAAAGTGGCTACAAGGCCGTCCGTGATGTTAGACCACAGCTCAAACCAAAGCTTGAGCCCTGCACTGTCTAATGTAGCCACTAGCCACATGTGGCTTTTTATATGTATTACATTCAGTTACATTAACAAGTCAGTTCCTCAGCTGCACTAGCCACTTTTTTTGGTTTCTTTTGTGCTAGGCACTTTTAAGGGCTCCTGAGTCCCACGACTGTGGCTGCTATCCTGGACACAACAGACAGAGAATATTCCATCATCACAGAAAGTCTTACTAGGCAGTGTTGCCCTAGACCACCCTACCTTTCCGAAATCGGCCGGATACTTGAGATGGTGACTTCTGGCTCCTTCTCCTCTACCCTGTCCATACCCCACGTGGCATCTGTATCCCAGCGGGAACCAAAACTTTCTCCCAAGGAAAAGGGGTTGTCCTTGTACCTATGGAGACAGCAGAGTGGCTCAGAGAAGTCTGCTGAGAAACACAGCAGCCAAGTCTACACCTGAGCAACAGCCTTACTTTGGAGGTCCAGAGGCGAAAGTACCGACATCGTCAAACAAGTCCAGCTGCGAGCGAGAGGATTTTGCACTCACTGGGGTTTCCTGCTCGATCACCTGCATCTCAGACAGCACGGAATGAGAGACAGAGCTGTGCAGAAAAGCAGAGCCAGGCGTGAGGCCAGTGGTTACGTGTCAATATCACCACACAAAAGACAACACGCAGCTGCTGGGGTCTCCTTCACCCAGAACCTTCTGTCCCTACCCAGGCACAGGGCTGGACCAGACTTCAAGAGGAAGTTCTCTAGATTGGATTTTTCAAATTTAATTATAACTTCACCTAGAATTAACTTTTAGTCCAATGGAGTGCTAAGAACTATGTGTGGTGAGAATCACCTACACATTAACTTTGTTTTCTCAAAGTAGGGGTACCCTGGCCAATGACTTGTTATAATTTTAATAATGTGCACCAAATGATAATGCTGTCTTTACAACACCCAGAATCGCTGCACCATGGCCCACATTCCTCACTAAAACAGATATACAGACACACAAAGGGAAAGATGAAAAAATGCCTCAGAACCAGGGAAATGAGTCTGATGGCATCAAAAGATCAGTCTTTTTTTTTCTTTTAAAAGACAGGGTTCGGTGGCTCAGCCTATAATCCCGCGCCTTTGGGAGGCTGAGGTGAGTGGATTGCCTGAGTCCGCGGGTTCAAGACCTGCCTGGGCAGGCGAGACCTCATCTCTACAATAAGTCAAAAAAATCAGCCGGGCATGGTATCGCGTGCCTGTAATTCCGGCTACTCGGAAGGCTGAGGCGGAAGGATCGCCGGAGCCCAGCAGGTCGAGGCTGCAGCGGCCGGGAGCGGCCACTGCACTCCAGTCTGGGCGACAGAGTGAGACTCCAACTCAAAAAAAAAAAAAAAGACAGGGTTTCACTCTATCACCGGGGCTGCAGTACAGTGGCATGATCATAGCTCACTGAAGTATCAAACTCCTGGGCTCAGGCGATTCTCATGCCTCAGCCTCCCAAGTAGCTGGAGCTACAGGCACATGCCACTGTACCCAGCTCACTTTTATTTTCATTTTGTAGAGATGTGGTCTTGCTTTGTTCCCTAGGCTGGTCTCAAACACCTGGGCTCAAGTGATTCTCATGCTTCAGTCTCCTAAAACTGCTAGGATTATAGGCATGAACCACCAGGCTGGGCCATGAGTTCTTATCTTTTTTTTTTTTTTTAACAACTAAGCATTTCAAAGCACAGAGCTTGACCTTAAGTATTAAGACCTAAAATTAGCCGGGCTCGGTGGCTCAGCCTGTAATCCCGCGATTTGGGAGGCTGAGGTGAGTGGATTTCCTGAGCCCACGGGTTCGAGACCCACCTGGGCAGCTTGGCAAGACCTCATCTCTACAATAAATCAAAATTAGCCAAGTGTGGTAGTGCGCGCCTGTAGTTCCAGCACCTTGGAAGGCTGAGGCAGAAGGATTCCAGAGCCCAGCAGGTCGAGGCTGCAGTGGCCGGGAGCGGCCACTGCACTCCAGTCTGGGTGACCGAGTGAGACTCCAACTCAAAAAAAAAAAGACCTAAAATTGCCTTCTCATTTCCCAAAGAAATGGGGCCTGGGGTTTGCAGGCAATACCAACTCTTGATGCTTCTCTCTCCTATCATACTATACAGAGACACTTTAAGGATTTGATTTTTTTAAATTTATTTTAAAATACCTATAGCAGCTGGGCATGGTGGTTCACGTCTGTAATCCCAGCACTGTGGGAGGATGAAGTGGGAGGACTGCTTGAGCCCAGGAGTTCTAGACCAGCCTGGGCAACACAGTGACATTGCAACACATGTCTTTAAAACAAAAATATGTATAGCTTTTAGCAAGAAAACCTTAAGAAGTGAATATTTTGCAACAGGGTTTTAAATAGAGTGGATTGAGTTTATTTATTTTGAGTCAGAGTCTCACTCTGTCACCCAGGCTGGAGTGTAGCGGCACGCTCATGACCTGCTAGGCTCAGGTGATCCTTCTTCCTCAAGTCTTCCAAGTAGCTGGAACTACAGGCATGCACCACCAAGCCCAGCTAATTTTTTTTTATTTATCATAGAGACAAGGTCTTATCAAATTGCCCAGACTAGTCTCAAATCTCTGGGCTCAGGCAATCAATCCTCTTGCCTCCTCCTCCCAAAGTGCTGGGATTATAGGCATGAGCTTGTACCTGGCTTAAGCTGAGTTTAAATAAACAATTCTGCCAGGCTTGGTGGCTCAGCCTGTAATCCCATGCCTTTGGGAGGCTGAGGTGAGTGGATTGCCTGAGCCCGCGGGTTCGAGACCCGCCTGGGCAACTTGGTGAGACCTCATCTCTACAATAAATCAAAAAAAATTAGCCAGGTGTGGTAGCGCGCGCCTGTAGTTCCAGCTACTCGGAAGGATCTCTGGAGCCCAGCAGGTTGAGGCGGCGGTGGCCGGGAGCAGCCACTGCGATCCAGTCTGGGTGACAGAGTGAGACTCCAACTACAAAAAAAAAAAAGAAGAAAAGCAGGTCAGACACAGGCTCACACCTGTAATCTCAACACTCTGAGAGCATCACTTGAGCATCCTGGAGTTCAAGACCAGCCTGGGCAACATTGTGAGATCTTGGCTTTACAAAAAAAATAAAAAATTAGTCGGGGGTGGTGTATTTCCAGCTACTTGGAAGGCTGAGGTGGAAGGATCACCTGAGCCCAGGAGATCAAGGCTGCAGTGAGCCATGGTCATGTAAGTGCACTCCAGCCTGGGTGACAGAATGAGACCTCGACACAAAAATAAATAAGTAACTAAATACAATAAAGATAAACCAGAGTATACAAACTCAATGGTTCTGAAACAGGAAGGATTCCTCCCAACCAGATGGCATTTGAAATGTGGAGTGGCATTTTGAAGTATCAAGTATTTGGCAGTACAAATGGTATTTAGTGAACAGGGATTATGTATGCTACAAGCCCCCAATTCTCAGCAAGGTCTTGAAAAATAAAGACTCAGGTCAGGCGTGGTGGCTCAAGCCTGTAATCCCAGCACTTTGGGAGGCCGAGGCAAGAGGACTGTCTGAGCTCAAGGATTCAAGTCCAGCCTGGGCAACATGGTAAGACCTCGTCTCGACAATAAATCAAAACTATCAGCCGGGTGTGATAGTGTATGCCTGTAGTTCCAGGTACTTGGAAGGCTGAGGTGGATCACCTGAGCCCAACAGGTCAAGGCTGCAGTGGCCATGAGCAGCATGCCACTGCACTCCAGCCTAGGTGACAGAATGAGACTCCTACTCAAAAAATAAGTTAAATAAATAAATAAATAAAAGAAACACCCATCCCTCAAAGTACCATCCAGAAAAACCACCCTTGTCTCTCGGATATGCCGAAACAGCACCTGACCCTGGGTTTCATTCACTCAGCCTATCTATGCACTCATTCAACTTATCAAGCACGCACCTACTACAGGCTAAGCACTGCACAAGGTGTTTTAAGGCAGCACGGTGGCCTGTTCAGCCTTGGAAAAACACTGAGCCTAGAATCTCGGGCTGCTGGGAAGGCCCCACAATGGTTCTCGACAAGCAAGGGCTTCCCTGTAGCTGAGGCTCACCTTCGGGACGCCAGGCCCATGCCCAGCCTCTCTGCCTGCTCTCGCTTCCTCCCTTCCAGGTTCTGCAGCTTCTTTCCCTCTTTCTGACGCTCAATCTGGAGCTCCTGGTAGGCCAGACGCATGGAAGCAACCCTTGGAGGGAACAAACGTTGTCAGTGACCGGCACCCGCCCTGACCTGCCCTGCCTGCCTGCCTACCAACCCTCACACGAGCCCAGAGCTCCTGGGGCAAATGCTCACATGGACTCCTCGGCCTGCTTCTTGGCATCAGCTGCCTGCTGCTCACGGAGCTTCTCTGCCACCTGGGCCTGCCGTTCAATCTCGCTGAAGCTCTGGTTGCTCACCTTCTGGGCCCCTAGGCCTTTCTTGGCACCCAGCTGGGAAGAGAACCATGTGACACTGGGCCTTGCCAACCACCACCTCCTCAGATCCTGCCCAGGCATGGGCACTCTGGCCTCACTCCCAAGGAAAGGGTCCTTTTTACAGTTTAGGGTGAGACCTCGCCAGCAGGAGCGAGAAGACAGTTTCTGCCGGACCCGGGCAGGAGGTGGCTCCCATGGCCCCAGTAAAGGCTCAAGCATGAGGACAGCAGTTCATGCTGCCAGGGCCCCAATGTGCCAAGCACTCTGAGCACTAGATGTACTTGATCTCTATGCCTCCTCCCAAATCCCTCTCATAGACAAAGTTCAGAGAAGTGAAGTCCCTTTGCCAAGGTCATACAGCCAGTAAGTGGTAAGGTCAAGGGTGAACCCAGGCGCCTGACTCCAGCTCCTAACCCGTCTCCCAGCCTACCCCTTTCTTAGCTGCCGCTGGTTTCTTCTTGCCAATGATGGAGCTTCTCAGTTCTGTGTGAGAAAGAGCGGGCATGACTAGGACAAGGAAGGTCAGAGGCAGCAGCTCAGTCCACGCCATGCAGCTTCGCAGCAAGAGCTTCTAAAAAGAACAGCTTTAGGCAGAGAAGGCAAAGCTGCTATACCAGTTCCAACCAATGGCGTCCAAGCCAAAGACATGGTTGGGGGGTTACTGATTCCCAGCAGTGAGACAAGAACCTAGACCTGAAGCACCAGAGACAGTCAAAGGCCCTGAACCGAAACCAAGACTGCCAGGCAGGGGCGCACGCCGAGACTAGCCTCAGCTCCCGGAGCAGCGAGCTGGTGTGTAAGGGGCCAGGCATCCCAGGCAGCTGTCGGTTACCTCTGGCAGGAGGGGCCCCTCTAGCTGACAGATACATGGATTCTGGAGGAGAAACAGACTTGTGGCTAACATGGCCAAACCCAGAGCCTCTACCTAGCTCCCAAGCCCAGACTGCTAGGAAGCCCAGCTTCAACCCACGCTATGGGGCCTACTCATGGGATCTGCCTGGGAGTCATTCTGCTGGCATTCTGCCCCAACCCCCAGAGTCAACAGAACAAACCAAGGTCAGCAAATGGCTTGTTCACACAGAACCAAGTCTGAAAGATATTAAGGAAAGAGTAGAAACGTTAAAAGACAGGCCAGGGACTGGTTAGGAAAAAGGAAAAAGGAAAAAGGCCAGGCTCAGTGGCTCAGCCTATAATCCCGCGCCTTTGGAAGGCTGAGGTGAGTGGATTGCCTGAGCCCACGGGTTCGAGACCCGCCTGGGCACGGAAACCTCATCTCTACAATAAATCAAAAAATCAGCCGGGCGTGGTAGCGCATGCCTGTAATTCCGGCTACTCAGAAGGCTGAGGCGGAAAGATCGCCGGAGCCCAGCAGGCGAGGCTGCGGTGGCCAGGAACAGCCACTGTACTCTACTCTGGGCGACCGAGTGAGACTCCAACTCAAAAAAAAAAAAAAAAGAAAGGAAAACGCCACCTCCAGTCATCGGCAGCTCAAGGCTGCCCCTTCACCTCATGAAATGGACCAGACCCCAGGGACAGGTGTCCAATCTCCTGCTGGCCTCCCCATCTCTGGCTAGACTCAGCCTCACACTCAGAGGTAGACCCCAGGCCTTGTACAACCAGCCCACACAGATTTATCAGTTCAAAGGGGCTGGCTCTAAAAGTAATGTTGCAGCCACCATTTTAATTCACAGACCCCAGCCCAGAAGTCAGATGCTCAGTCTCTTGTGGTCTCAGTCCACAAGACCAAGCAGCGGCAATCTGAAAAGAACACTTGAGGTCCACCCTCTCCCAGCCTCCCCACACCCACCGCTGGCATACTGACCCAGAGAGGTTTTGGGTGAGGTGCCAAGCAGGTCCGTATTGGGGCCGTGCTCTGGCTCTGTGGATGCAACGGTAAGAGTTAGCTGTGAGGCTCCTAGCTTCCTGTGACCTCCCCTTAAGAGAAGTGATGGGATGAGAGTCACTGGCTTTCCTCAGCTTGCCACCAAAATAAAAAGGAATGCCCAGCACTTCCTCCAAGGGATTAAAATGAGTCCCAGCCCACCCAAAGATCGAGGAAGACCTTGCTCCTATTCTCTTGGTCGGGTGTCCCCTTTCTAGCCTTTAGCCCTCTCCTGGGACCAGGACACTTGGTTGGAATATGGGCTGAACTCACGTGCCAGGCTACTGCTCTCTGCAGACGGGGCTGGCTGCTGGGTTCCTGAAGGCTCAGTGGCTGGCACATCCCAGGCAGGGGGCTAAAAAGGAGGCCAGATCGCAGAAGCCTTGGTGAGCCACTCTTGCTGGTAAGGAGTACCAAGAACCCACAAGTACCCTATGGGTGAAAGTCCTACTCCAAGCCCACAAGGAAAGGAGCCTGGCAGTTAGCAACTAAAATCACAGCTGCCATTCGCTATGGAAGAAAGAAGCAGGAAATATGCAGCCTCCCACCATAAACCCCACTACTCCCTTAGAGCAAGAGCCCACTCCCCAATCTAAAAACAACTAACTACTGGACACTCACCATGTGCCAGGCACAAGTCTAAGGGCGACTTGTATACAAACACATCTAATTATCACCACGTCCCCTATAGGTAGATAGATACATCTCCATTTCAGAAACTGAGGTTTTGACAGGTTACGTGACTTGGCCGTCAAAGAAATGCTAAGTAGAGAAGCAAGGATTCAAACTAAGAGGGTCTGACTTCCGCCCAGTGCCAGGAGCAGGAAAACCCTCCTCACGGGGGTGGTTCAAGGCGGAGGGAATCCTCTCACTGTCCCCAGACACAATGCCTTTCTTATAATGGACGAATCCAAGAAGAGTTGTTGGGGTCCCTGACACCTCTTGAACCTTCTAGAAGCTGTTGTCTCCCCACTAGGACAGTTTATGAGGGTCCATTTCTAAAGAGGACCACACTGTATCCCCATTCACAGGAGAAGGAAACACATCTGCAGGCAGCAGTCACCAACTCAGCAGGCCCCAGACATTTTCTGTCTGAGATATCACACCAAGACAAAAGGAATCTACATCCGTAAATAACCACAGAAGGCCTTGGCCTTGGTAAATAAACTACTTGCCAACAATTGGGTAAACATTCCTTGCAGGCACTCACTTGGGTGTGTTCCGTGAAGAAATCCGAGTCCTTCTTCTCTGGGGAATGATTGGGAACACTATTCATATTGTCAATCCAAAGCTAGAAGGAAGAAGGCACCCCTGAAACACAGGCCTCTGCCTGCTCCCACTCCCCCTGCCACCCCAGCCCCAGGGGTGCTTACATCGGTGCCGTGCCTAGCCAGGGCCGCACTCCCCAGTTGCCGGATCTTCTCCCGATACATCTGAGCAGCACGGCTATTGTATTTGGTGTTTGCATCACTGGCTGTGCATCCATGTTGGCGGAAAAAAGCTGTCTGGAGAGTGAAGGAAAGAGGAGAGCACACTACAGGTGATTCTCACCAGAACAAAAACGTATTGGCTGAAGGAGGCACCCCTTATAACACCTGATTCTTATTTATATGGCACCATACGCTTTATTGACACCAGTAGGTTTTCACTTCCGAAATTCCTGCAAAAAGCCCAGCCCTCACTCAACCCTACATGAGAACGACAGGCTATTCCCACGCTCCAGTCTTTCATCCAGAAAGGCCTATAGATTCGATGACTGTGGAGTCCCCCTTGGCTTTTCCCCAAGAACATGCAATTTTAGTTTGAATTTAAAGCCCCTCTGAGAGGAGCTGTCACCAATTTTTAAGTTTAGAATATAGTGCACGTGGTGTTAGAGACCAGAGAACCCTCTGAAACTGAGCCTCCTATGAAGTCATGCAAAGTCACTACACAGGCAGAATGGGGGTTGGGAGAAAGCAGAAGAAGCTTTACCGCATGGGCATTCCCGCCGACCTGCATACACCTCAGCTGGAACCAGTTCCAGTTGGAATCCAACTCTGTGGACCTGTGTACAAGGGCTGTGTCACTCACCACCAGATACCGGGAGACGGCCTCCCCGGCAAACCTGCACCTGTCATTCGGCCTCGGGCTGCTGCCTGTACCCAGGAAACAATTAGTCACCACCCCATTTCCTCCACACCACCCTGTCCAGAAAGCTTGGTTCCTCGCTCATCTATTCCGAAGGGTACTAATTTTCTCCCCATTCTCAGGCACACACGCTCGGATGTGGCTTTTCCTTAAGGATGGTCACAGTCTCACTGGAGACGTACTCAGCCAATAACATCAGCAACAAGACCAACGCAGTTAATATTTCCACCCAAACGAACGCTCGGAGGCTCGAGTTCGACCGTCAGGAAAAGGGAGTTCCGACCCAGACTGGGGGGGGGCGCGGCCCGCCTCTGTGGCAAGGGGCCCACCGGCGGCTCCCTCTCATAGGACGTTCCGGACCCCCGGCCCGGCAGTTGCCGAACACCGAATCCCGCAACAAGGTTCAAGGCGGGCGGCCACTCTTCTTACGCCCACGCAGGCCCGGCGGCCGAGTGGAAGCCCAGCAACCGCGCGGATCGCCCACCTGATGAAGCTGAGATGGACGCCCAAGGAGCGGTGCACCCCGGAGCAGTCAATGCACAAGAACACACCATACGTGATGCTGGCCCAACTCGGATTCTTGGCGCCACAGTCGAAGCAGGCCTGCGCGGAGGAGACGACGAGTGAGGGGTCGGGGCCCCCGCGTGGAGGCCGGCCGCTGACACCTCGGGAGAAGACCCGCCTCCGCCCCCCTCAGGCCCCGGGGGAGAGGGGAGACTTTCCTCAGCCGCCGTCAGGCTCCGCGCGCCCCCTGCTTACGCACCTTGTTGGTTGGAACTGCGCGGAGCCTCTTAAAAAGGGTCTGGATTTCGGTCTTACTCGGCTCCGCCGCCATTTTCTCTCCTTCCCAGACACAACCGCGACCGACGGGTCCTGTCACGGGCCA